ACTGTACCTCCGAGGCCAGGACATCCGTAAGAAGTGAGGAGTCGCGATATGGTAAATGAACGTCTTGACATGTGCTAGTATTATGATAAAGAGTAAATCTACTGAACGGCACTGTCTAGGCGCACCATACTGTGGAATATGGTGGCTCTCTGCAGAGGGTGCCTAGGGCCAGACAACACGGAGAAGACATGATACACACTTTCTTCTTAATTACTTTGAGAATATTGAAGTGGCGCAGCATAAAGGCGCAGCCAAAAGCCACATTCACTTACATTTATGAAGCCAATTTGTCCACGACAAACGTCTCCACCTTGTATGTCGCTGAACGAACGAAGCACTTTACATGTGGAAGGACTTGGTTTGTTCATACATACATACCGGACGTGCATACATAACCGGACGCCCGGTACCCGTAGGATCTTCGATCAGGAACGTGTAAAGATGGTATCCGTGGGGCACACACGGGTCGGTCACGTGTTCCACCCACATTAGGGGCGTCTGGGAGGCGTCAGAACAGCACTATCTTCTGCCATTAGGCGGAGCATATGTGGCTATAATAACCCTGCCCTGGCTGCAACACAAGAATCCGTACGAATTCGCAAAGCTAAGCCAGTCCTGAGGGAATATCGTTTTCAAAATAAAACTCAGCTATCTTTCACTTACTCGACAGGCATTTCGACACTTTTGGTGGCGTTTAAATACGTCGCGAGTGGCGAGAACCATGCTTAATTCATTAGCTACAATCGGCTGTTCTCTAGAACACGTGCTTTATTGCACTGTTTATTATTAGCAGATGCACCCAATTCACCAGGCTCTTTCTGATTCTCCGAAGTTCCACTGGATTCGCTGGTTACCTGCCACATTATTAAAACGCCAACCAGTAACGCAGCACGCACAAATAAGACATGTCTAAACCTCATATTCATTTAACACCTCAAATCCATGACGGATAAGAAAGACGGGCACCCATTTCTGAGCGAACCCATTGTTGTCCGACCAAAATGCATGTTGAGTCGTCAGAATGCTGATGAAAAATCGAGTGAACCTACGAAATTATGATAGGAAAGCCGCTGGCTATTCGCACAATGAGATTTTCTGAGCGATTGTTGTCCGACCAAAATGCATGTTGAGTCGTCAGAATGCTGATGAAAAATCGAGTGAACCTACGAAATTATGATAGGATAGGAACTGGCTATTCGCACAATGAGATTGATTTCTCGAAATCTACGGCATTTTCAGACTTGCCACTTCATAGTGTAGAATGTCTATGTATAAGGTACACGCTCCTGTATTATTGAAAATCCTTTACTATGGCGATTTGTTTAGGTGAACTAAATCTCCAGGTGAATAAACACCGCGGACTTTGAATACCTTAACGAATGAAAAAAATCGCGAATTGTGGAAAAGGTTGACTCACATATAATGAACGTAACTTTCAGGTATTTTTCCACCGGAACAAACTTCCTCAACATTCTAGAATCTAAATGGCCTTTGGAGATGCAACTTATGCGCAGGCGCATTCGTGCAAACAACTTTTGGCCGATGATTCCTTGTTGCCAGTGGTGCACGCTAATTATTTGCTAAA